CAGTTCTGGATAAGGAGTTAGTTCATTGCTGATTAAGAAGTTGAATACCTGAGACTCAACGTTGAAGTGGTGAGGAGTAGAAAATAGGCGGGCATTATTGCCTTTGTGAGGAATCCCCAATATGTTGTGAAGAATCATCAATATTCTATGGATTTTAAGGGGTATTTGGAGTGGAAATCCAAACTTGCAGTTGCTAAATGCATTTTTCCAGTTCTAAATACTGCTCAAATGTGAGTTCTTGCGAGAAGGAGCTTGTTCCCAGCTCTGTCAATTGAGGAGATTGCACAAGCAACCTCTGTAACTGCTCCAAGGTCATATTCTTGTTTACTTTCAAAACCTTGAGTGACTTGCATCTGGCAACTAGTCTTTCCAGAGCATCAAAATTGACTTTTCTATTCAGGCTTGCAAAACTCAGTACTTCTAATGATGTCGAGTTATCAGGAATACAACTTAACCAGCTCCCACCAACATCACTAATCCCATTCTCCGATATGTCCAGCTCAGTCAAGTTCCTATAACAAAATTGCAAATCAAAAGGAAAATGAATCATTGTCTATCATTACATATGAGAGCTACAGAGCTAAAAATAACAAACTAATGAGCAGCAGTACGAATAAATTGATATATGTCTTCATGGTTATCATAGAACTAGTTGATTTCAGGTGCATAAACAAATTCTTGTAATCATGCACTGATTAGTTGTTGCAGTCTCATGAATTGACATGTTATATTCCCTCTACAAGGAAGCAGGATGTTTAGGTAGGCATATTACCACAAATACATGCACTGAACCCAATAAGAAAGCATAGCTAATTCTCTCTAGAGGTAGGACAGTAAAAAGAGAATAAGAAAGCTCACAGTAAATCACATGAAGTGATAAAACCATGAGTAGGGTGCCAATATGCAGCAAATTTAATTGAAAGTTGGGTCTACAAGGTCAGCTCAACATTCAGCATTCAGCAAGGATGCCAATATAAAGAAAATTTAAGAAGCCTAATAATATCATAATTAGATCATAGCATTCAATGTGGGTCTTTAACATCCCCCTTCCCACCCACCCAAAGGATTGTTGTCCTATGTGCAGATCATCTGAGTAATCAGTAGCCTAGCCACTTTTTTTCTTTTAGAGTTCTTCCGTTACCTTCTTCAGATTTCTTTGGAGTTGTCCCATTTTGATGTGTAAAATAATCTTATGATGGCTTTCATTTACTATTTGTTGGGCTGTGTGGAAGGAGTGGAATTGGAGAATATTTGATGTGCTGATTCTTTCTATTTTTTTGATGGATTGGGTTCTTGTCTCCAATGAATTTAAAGGTTGAAAGGCATATTTTGGTTATAGATAGAAGTTTGTCTTGGGTGTAGACTGTAGAGGCAATATACTATAAATTCTTTGCATTTGGGCCTCTTTATATATCATCACACACTTTCTTGACTCTTGATTAAAAGAATTTGCTTTAATGCTGGGTATTGGAGATATACCTCCGCGTGTATATACCTACCTCCACATGTATTTCCCTGTAGCAATAGAGTTATTGCATCATTGGTCACTCAACGAGTCCTGGTATAACACTCATCGCAGGATACACTCATCCTTCCAACTGTAATCTTCTTATCATTTATCTTTGTAAAATTCCATCATTGATGGACTCCTTGTTAGACAGTTTTGTATGCCCTTAGCTTCAATCAGAACCTTAATGGGCAGCAGTTTGGAAGGCTAAGTGAGCACACAACCTTAATGGGCGTAAAGCCCATTTCGATTTGGGCTGATTTGATCAGTTTAAATGATGGGCGGATCTGGGATTAAATTAGTTGATAGGATTGGGCATTGACCCTATCCACTCAGAGAGTCCAAAATCTAAATAAGATTTAGATCTAGGAGCCTCCTAATAGGATTAGGAGATGACTGATCTAATCTACAGATAAGATAAGGGTTCATCCTTATCACCAAAAGGGAAGCCTAATCCAAATGTGATTTGGATCAGCAACTCCTAATTGGATTAGGAGCTGATCCTTTAGGGTTACAAGAAAAACAAGGGGTGGCAGCCTTTAGAGAGACAGAACAACACACCAAGATCTCTAGTCTTGAGAGCTGAAAACACAGGAAAAGAATTTCTGCAATCCATGCGAAATTCTTTCTTACCGCCTCCTTCCTACCGCCGCCAGACCTCCAGTTCGATCTCCAACTTTGTTGGAGAAATCAAGATTCGATCTCGATAKCAGCCCTTTGTGAAAGGACTGATTGGAAGCAGTGCTCACGTGTCATCCAGCTATTCTTGCGAAAGATCAGGTTCTTGGAGAACGCTGCCGATTCTGCTCCATCCTGCACTGCACCATCTTTAGTGGGAGCAGCCTTTGGATCCTTCCTTGGGCGTGAACACCTCCATTGAGAGATAATATTTCTCTGTATCAGGTATACCTCTCTCCCACTCCTTTTGGTTCAGATCTGGTTCAATTTATGGTTCAAGATCGATCCTTGAAAATGTGTTTTTCTAAATAGGGAATGTGATTCCTAGTTGAAGGAAGAGAAAATTTTTTGAAATTTGCCCCCCTTTATTCCACAAGATTTGGACGACCATATGATGGATCTCTCATCCCTTCACTCCTTGTATGTATACAACTCTTAACTATTATAAATAGAAATAGGGTGATGGACTTCATCATCAATCCACATTATCATTAACTCTGCTATTTCAACTTGGTATCAGAGCCTCCATCGATTCTCATAGTATCCAATGGTTTCAGTTCTGGCTCTCAGAACTCAACAAGTGTCTCAGCCACCAATAACGCTTTAGGCTCGAGCTCTACTCATTATCTCCCTATCAAACTCAATAATGACAATTATTTACTTTGAAAAGCTCAACTTCTATTGATTCTCTACACAAATCGATTAACGAACTGAAAGGCCATGACATTCACTTGATCAACGAACTGGAACACTTTTTGGACACTAGGTGCAAATCACTTCAAAGGACTAGAAGAGCCTCTTTCACAAATATGTACAATAATATAAGAAAGAATTGAGACAGTATATCAGTGTTTTCGAACTGCCTTGACCTGGACGGTCGGGCAGTCTGGCCCAGGTATTGTCTAGGTAACCGATTCTGTTTATCCCAAATCCAATCCTTGACTAAAAACCGTTGAATTGGTCAAGGATGCTGATCCAAGTGTTCAACCATCAACCTATTCAAAGATTTTTTGGCCATATTTTTTATTTTAATTTTTTTTATATATTTTAATTGGAACAGGCCATCTATTCAAATCGAACAGTCAAATCATCAACCCAGAATATAGTGGACAGAACAGTTCAGGTTCCGTGTCGTCGTTTTTTAAAACCTTGCGATATAGAGAGCCCTTTTAACACTTAATAAACTTATTATATTATCATTTGCTTATGCAGTTCGCTTTACCATCTATTTATACTCACTGATCCACAATTGGGGCTAGCTGTCTCTTGGGAAATCTAGACTGGATATGGACCTAACCTTCACTAATTTTTGTGCCTGTTTGTGTTTGGAACGGCTTATGCGGCATATGGATTTGCAAGGTGGGTCCCACACAGAAATAGACGTTCTAGTGAAGCTTGTTTTAGCAGCTTCGTCAAAGCAACTATCAACACAGATAAATCAAAAGGCTGAAATCCTCCCAAAGCAAAAAGTGGTCACTTTCGGTTTAAAACTTGCATCATCATGCTCGTCATCCTTACACAATGTTCAAAATATCGCAACGGATCAGGCCGTATCGGCCGATAAGTATCGTTCTAACAAGATCCTAATACGTGAAACATGTAGAAATCTTTTGTTATGTTTCTTTTCACACGTATTGGCCGATATAGGTTCATATCAGACTGTTTCGGATCTGTATTGACCCATATCGGCCTGTTTCGGATGTGTATTGACCAATACAGGACTAAAACATTCTGATACAATTTGGTACATATCATTAATTTTATTAATCCATATTTAATACCAAATCTCTCATTAATGTCGTTTATTTAAGTCTAATTTCTCTTTCATTAATTAGTCAATTATTCCAAAACAAATTTAAATTTAAATTTGAATTTTAACACCTAATTCAAATTCTCACATTAATTCCTTTAATTAATGATCCCCTCATTAAATTCGTTTTGTTAGTGTAAAAACTTCAAATTTTAGCAATAACAAGATTTGAACCTTAGTCACTTGATTTTAACAAGGGATAATAGCATACAAGGGCAACTTTGGGGCCCTAATATCAGTAAAAGTAATATTTTTAAAAAATTTTCAAAAATAGGTTAACTTTTGAAAAATAATATCAATAAAGGGCAAAATCACTGTTCATCTTCTTCATCTTGCAATCTATTCACTAGCACCACCACTCGCCGCCGCCTCTAGCAATGCCTCCACCTAGTGGGCGGAGGTGGCGATGTTGGATAAAGAAATAACCACCAGTGCCACCTCTGCCTCTGCCCACCTCCAGCAACAATGCTAGAGATAGGCGAAGGCAATGAACAGCGATGTTGGTGAATAGATTGCAAGAGGAAGAAGATTAACAATGATTTTGCCCTTTATTGATATTATTTTTCAAATGTTAACCTATTTTTGAATTTTTTTTAAATATTACTTTTACTGATATTAGGACCCAAAAATTGCCCTAATATGCTATTATCCCTTTTAACAAACACACGCTCGCCAATGAGCCACACATATTTGTTTGCTATGATTATATGTATTTTTTATTTTAAATAAATTTTCACTTTTCTTAATGAATGACAAGTGTTTATTAATAAATGTTGGAATTAATTATTAAAATTTATATACTAATAAATTTTAAGATTAATTATATTGGTTTTTGAAAATTGACATTCACATTTTTATTTTTTTGTTTATTTTACATTTTAGTTATTCCATCATTTTTAAACGGTTACAAATTGTGTCCCAATATGTCATACTTTATATAAACCATTAAATTATAGTTTTTTACATTTAAATAACTTATTTACAATCATATAAAATTTATAAATATAGTTGGTAATATATTTTTAAGATTTATTTAATTTTCTATCATATTTATGTGTATCTTAATTTTTCATCCATATCCATACATATCCAATGCGTATCCCAATACATCTCTTAATTGCACAATGTCCGATATGCATCCACCATCTTCTTTTTATCCTATTTTCTTCCTTTTTCTTGCCTGCTCCGTAGACAAAGGTGTACTAGATAAACAGAAAGTAACGGGCAGAAACCTTAAGTCTGGGAAACGTCTCATTCTGAGCCTGTTTTAATTATTTTCTTCTGCATCCCCTATAAGAAATTCCTTTGTACTGCTCCAGATGAAAACCGAGAAGCCAACCCCTGTGCCATGTTCTCCGAGTCCAAATTGACTTTCTGTCTGCCAGCTGTCAAGTCATTCTCACGATCCCAAGGCTTCCATGGGTGTTTCCCTACCCACTCTTCTTTTTCTTGCTGCTGCTGCTTGGACTTCTTTTTGGAACGACTACTAGCTAACTCTTCTTGGTGTTTTTGTACTAGAGACTTGGACCGCTTGGACTGGTTGTACTTGTCTACCAAGTCGGCATCTGAACTAGTTCTCTTCTTTACCTCTTCACTGGCAGAAAGTGCTGAAGCCTCGTTATAAGCCTCTAAGTAACTGCAGTTTAAACTTGAACATGTTATCAAACCCTTACAACATGAAAATAAAAAAGAAATATCAAAGCTCCAACAACACCCTATCTCAAAGAAAATATTTGTACTTCATTTTCGCCTTTTGTGCCCTGTCAGAAGGAGCATCTGTCCAAACGCTAGTATCACCACGTCCTTCTTTGGTAGTCCTGCTAAATGATGTCGATTGCATAGTCATCCCTGGCTGTGAAAATGAAACACAAACAAGAATGACATGAGTTGCCAAGGCCCAAGGAGCAAATAGAAAAGGCTGGATGACCGATCATGTACTGATCAAATAATATATATTTGTGTGGTTTAAGGACCCTACCTTTCTTTCAGGAGGCAGTGTTGTCATCCACTCATCTCTCTTTTGGGGCAGCTTAACCTCTTCCAAGAGTTCATCATCACCTCGCATTGATATTCCTGAAAATGCAATCAAACTCTTAATTCAGAACTTCAAGAATTCCACCAAATTTTGGAGCTTCAATATATTCAGTTTTCACAATCAATGACTTGAATGAAGTTTTCCCAATTTTCATTATTGAAGTAATTCCAAGTTCAAAACCCCAACTATTTTGGCACAATTCTTTGATTTTAAACATTAGCACATACGGGTGCTTATCAACAGATGTGTGACATATCCCAAAGTCATCTTATATTCTTGGTAGATTGAATTTATTTCTCCAGTCATATTACGCATTTATACTGCAGAATTCATGTTACATATATTGACATCCACAACCATACAGCAAGATTCTACTTACTAATTACACCAAACTAATGTTTTGAGTGTACCAGAGGTTCAGTATGCTTGTGGAATCTTTATATATACAAGTCCATGTAATAAGGTAAATACAATCAATACTGAATTTGACAACCAAATTTGTGTTTTATGGTAGATGTAAATCAACCCAGAAGATAAAAGGTATTCCAATCTGAAAAGTAGAAGAAAAGTGAAAATGATAGAGAAATCAGAAAAAGGAACGAAGATGGTGAGAGAAGAAGGGAGAAGAAGGGAGAAGAAGGGAATTCAACCAGTTCTGTTCACGAAATCAGAAAAAGGAACGAAGATGGTGAGAGAAGGGAGAAGAAGGGAATTCAACCAGTTCTTTCTCCTTCTCCTAGTTACTTTTATGGGTAAATCATTTAAACTACCCCTACTGTTCACGAAATTGACAAACTGTACCCTTACTGTTTAGATATTGTCTTGCAGTACCCTTAACTTTTCTGATAATTTTCTAAAACCTCCCTTGCCGTTAATTTTCCGTTACACTCCGTTCACATGTGACATCACGTGAGTGGTAATCATTTTAAAATTCCTAAAATACCCTTATTGTTCACTGCCGCTGTTGGAATCGGCGGCTTTCCAGCTGGGTGAGTGATAATCATTTTAAAGTAATCTGTGTAAGAGGGTTGTCTCAGTTGGGCTGGTTTTCCGGCGAATTCTTAATATGTGAAGGGGTGAGGTGGAGAGGGAGAATGAAGAGAAGGGGCGGAGGAAGAAATCACCATTGCAAGTTGCAGGCTTGCAGCGGCAGCGGTGATTTTGTCGTCAAAAACGCTGAAGAATACACCAAAAAAAGAGTTTTATGGGAGAGTTTCTGAAGAAAAGTTTCCGAATCAGCGAGTCCGTCAAGTGAGATCAGGAGCTAACGGGACCAATTACTGTTCCTAGATCTGTTCAGATCCACTAGATTTACTACAACGACAAATGAACTCCATTACTATTGCTAGGAGACTTCAGAACTTTTAGTGCTAGTAGCGAAATTCATTCCTCACAAAGATCATTCAATTACTGTTCCTAGATCTTTTTGCCAAAGGCGTTGTGGCATTTCTTCTGATGGTGAAGATCAAGCCATTGAGAGAGCTGGTAATGAAGGGCCTCACCACCGCTCTCTGCTGCCGATACTTTTCGCCCAAGTCCTTCGAACAATCTCCAACTTACCGCCGATCCTTCCACGAAGGTGCCAGTGCCAGAGGGGGTTGATGTAGACAACGGTGGAGGAGATGAACCCGACTCCAACGATTCATACTGTTAACTGAAAAATGCCTCCACCCTTGCTCCGACTCTTTTTCTCTGTAAGGGTTTACAGACCCTTTCTCCAACCAGCACCTCCATCCTTGCTCCGACCCTTTGTCTCTAAACCAAAAGGTAAGAAATGATAGAAACCGGCACCTCCACCCTTGCCCATCCTTTTCCGTCACTGTGAACAATGATCGCTGCTCTCTCCACTTTTTTTTCTTCTTTCTTTTTTTTTTGATGAATGAATATAATTTATTGAAACAGAAATATGAGGCAATACAGTAGACCCAAGAGGAGGCACGAGTTGTTACCTCTTCTAACAAATATTACATCAAACTAAAGCAGAATTGACCAGAATTAACCAGAACTAAAATTACAAAGCAGCCCAAAATAAATGTTCCCTTGAAGCCCCTTGCTTAGCTAACTCATCCACTAAGGCATTTGCGATCTTCCCACCCAATGAAAGGTAACAGCCATGTCTTTTGCGATCCAGTTGACTTTCCTTAGCATATCTCTATATCGCCACATAGCTGAAGCTGGTTCTGTCAGCCATCCCACAACAATCTCAGAGTCCCCTTCAACTACCAAGTGCTGGACTCCTAACTGTTCTGCAATCTATATTGCCACACACTTTTTTCTTCTTCTTATTCCCTGCATTTTCTCTTCTTCTTCTTCTTCTTCTTCTGCATTTCTGTCACTCTGGAGGGGACCACCACCTCCACCTAGACCGGGTATGCCATCTCCTCCACCGCCCTGGTATGCCTCCTCCACTAGGTTGTGTTCCTGTTTCCGACCCACCTCGCCCAAGTATGGCAAACCATCAGTAGCAATAGCACTGAGTTCCAATGCCTCAGTAGCAAGGTTCAGTGTGTAGTGAAACTCTGACCCAAAACCAGTTCGGAACGCGGCAAAAGCAGGTTACGACGATCAGTTGTTGAGTTCAATCAGTTGCAGGTCCACTACAACCCCATCTCAGTCTCATCATATTTTATTCATTAAATCGAGCAAAAGTGTCACCTTCTTCCTCTTATAAGTCGACACTTCAAACTCTTGATTGGTTCTGTGAGTTTGGTTTAAGCTCCTCCTTTTCTCTTTTCCATCATTCATTGTTTATCTCTCTCTCGATGGAAGTTCATGCGATGGTTGTGACACCACGAGACAAAATTTGTTTATTTCTCTCTGCAATGGGCGTCCACCACACAACTAGTGCCCTAAACCTGTGATGGCGAATTCGACGTCAATTGGGTTTAATTTTGAAATTTTGATAAATAATGAAGGGCAAATTTGACATTTCATTTCCTTCCATTAGCACTTAACGACGATGACAATTGTCAGAAAACCTAAGGGTACAGCAAGACAATATATAAACAAACTTTCTTTGAAGCAACTCTCTCCCATATGAATTTGAAATGTCTATCTACCTCAATATGCTCTGTTCTGTCATGCTCAACAAGGTTATGGGCAATGTTGATGACCGCTTGATTATCACAGTACAATATCAGCTTCTCATAATCGATGTCCAATTCTTCCAAATGAGATCTAAGCCACAGTAACCCGGACACTCCATGGGCTGTTGCCCTATACTCTGCCTCAGCAAAAGATCTAGCCACTACAAAATGCATTTTACTCCACGAAACAATGTTCCTTTGCCAAAATATTCTATCTGGTTACATCAAACTTAGGGTTAAGTCCAATGAGAAACTTAAATACCTTGTTTCTTTCTACTAGCTTTCTATAAGTCTCAACATCCTTGGTACTTTCCACACAACAATTTCCACTATATCAATCTCATGCCATAGGGACTTGAGCATAGAAAAAATACAGCCATTGATTTCTTCCCCTGTTTTAGATTATTCACATCATTCTTCAATTTATAGGCCCTAGCAACATTTAATTTTTTGGAATATTTTTTCTAACACTACCCCATATCTCCTTGGATGAATCAGTCCAAAAGTAATGCTGACTTATGTAGGGCTACATGGAATTGACTAACCATCCAATAATTTGTTCCATTTTTCATATGTAGGATCAATTTCTTTTGGCTTCTTACTACCTGCTAGATACCCCAACTTGCCTATGTTACAAACATGAACCCGTAAAGATTATGCCCAACCAAGTAATTTGTTCCATCTAACTTGATTGTAGTCACAACATTCAACAAAGGTTCTATAGGCCCAACCAAACTGGCCTTCGACTCTAGGTTTTGCTCTGCCTCATCTCTAGATTGTTCCATTGATTAAACAAAAATCAAAATATGATATTACTGGCCCTACCTAACCTGTAGTCAATCCAACACTAAAAACACAAAAATCCAATGTTCCATTGAACCCTACAACCCGGGAGAATTGGGAGAACTACAGCCACTGCAACCAGGGGCTCCAAAAATAGTCCCAACTAAGATTGATCTCCTCTAGTAGTCAAATAGCATCTGTCAAGCCCTAAGCGCCAAACTAACTCAGCCTCCATGTCCCTTAATAATGTTTTTATCTGGTTCTCTAACTCAAAATGCGGTATTTTCTTCTTCTTCTTCTTCTTCTTCTTGGCATTCCAATATCCAACATAGATGTAAAGGCAATGCCTAGGCGAAAAGGCACCCTTGGAGTCTTGCCTTGTCTAATCACCAAGCAGTTTTGTACATTGTATTATAAAATACTTTTATATTAATTTTTTGACATTATAATTATAAAATAGACATTATTAAACTAGAATTCTCATTTTGTGTGTTTATATACTAATTTCTTATCAACACAAACATTATCAAAATGCGGTATCTTGAATATGTTGATTTTCTATAATTTAACATAAAGTTTATACTTTTCTTATAAAAATTATTGATAATTAAGGAAATATGGTTATGGAACCTAGGGAACTACCTTAGGATATATGTTTTCTACTTAAAAAATCCATCACCTAGGCAAGCGCCTAGACGACTAGGCTACAAGTATGCACTTACTTTCTAATTTATTGTTGATGTTATTTTTCTTCTATGTTGCTGTTAGTCTTTAACTATGTTGTTAGCACATACTTTCTAATGTTATTGGCAGCAGGGATATTCCTGTCATTGTAACCTTTTATTTTCTATTAGTATAAATAGAAACATGGGGCGGCAGATCAGATTAGATTTTCTGCACCCCTTTCTTCTATTCTTCTGTCCTCTTCTCTCTTCTTCTCTTCCTCTTCTGTTCATCTCTTTTCTTCTTATTTTTTTCTGTTTTTCTTTACTAAAACAGGTCTGAACCTCATCAGCTACAGAAAACTTATATTCAAATATTATTTCATGTTAGTACCATTGGAGATGGAAATATTTTTTGGAATTAGGAAATATGTCAGTTTTTAAAACCATGGAAAAGATATTGATAACATCCACTTAAGGACATGGTAACTGGGAATTTCTGCAATACATGAATGGACTAACAAACGATGTCCAAGATGCCCAAAAAAAAATATAGGTATTAAAACTGATAAAGCAAAAAGGTAAACCACTTTCAATTCTAGGAAAAAAATTGAACACCCATGAGGATGATGACCAACTCCACAATATTAATACCATGTTTTATCTTGATTTTATGGGAATATTTCCCAATAGTTGACACACCATACCAAGCTCAAATGGAACTAACTAATTAAAATTGCAAACATTTTTACATTGTGTCATTTATGTGTTTTTGCTTATAAAATAAACAAGTTGTTAGGAGTTAGAGAACAAGATATCAAAAATTAAAATTAATAAATTTGTAATACTCCTGCAGGAAATATCTGACCTTGTAATCGTCTCCATTGTGCAGCTTCACGTTGTACTTTTAACTCAGCCTACAGTACACAACAAAATATTGGAAATTAAGAACGAATGCCAATCATTAATTACCTTACTAACTGAGAGGAAGAAAAAACTTGATCAGTGACCAATTGAAATAAGAAATAATCTAGGAAGAAAAACAAACGCTGCATTTGAAATGTAAAATACATATCATAATGTTGTTGTTATCATAAATGTAAAATATATATTACACGGTTTAATGATCTAATGTAGGACTAATTAGGAAATTGGAGAAATTAATGATTATTCAATAAAATATGCAGACTATATCAGCTGGAAAGAATGGAGATCTAAGGTCTTGGGAGGATTGTGATGTAGGATCAACAGCTTTGATATCAATCTGATGTAGAGCTGATGTCTCTGATTGTGAAGAGATGATAGTTGAGTAATATGGTGTATTGTAGGTAATAGATCATATGTAAATAAATGTTTTGTATATTTCTTTCCTTGTTTTGAAATTTAATCTCCCACTACCAAGGGACAGTTGTCCAAGGTAGATAGATAAGGATCAATGTGTAACAGACAATGAGCATGTGAAAAATATGAAAATATCAGGCAGAAAAGGGTGGGTGTACAAATTGAAGTTGGAAAAAGCATATGATCATGTGGCTTGGTCCTTTATAGAAGAGGTGATGTGACACCATGACTTTGGGTCTAAGATGAAGTGGATAATGAGGTTTTGAAGAATTGCCAATATTCTGTTTTGGTGAGTGGAGTAGCACATGACTTCTTTCCAGCCAAAAGGGGATTGAAACAAGGGGACCCACTGTCCCCATTTCTATTATCCTGGTTGCTTATGTCCTAGGAAGCTTAATCACAAACGTTAATGAGGTACGCCTTTATAGAGGATGGAGAATGGGAAGGGATAAATGAAGCTTAACACTTACCATTTGCTGATGGCAAAGCGAAGATGTGGGAATAGGTTGGGCAACAAGGATGCAATCCTTGATTAAATGCTTCGAGAAGCTAGTGACCAAAATTATAGCTTCTTGTTGGGAGGTCTATCAGCAAAGGATAAACACAAATGAAATGCTACAAAAAAAGAGGACCCTTTTGGTATTTGTCCCCCCATATTTGCTTCTTGTACTTTGCAAGTGAAAAATTGATATATCACCTATTAATCTCTTGTCAGTTTACAACTAGCATTTAGGAGTTGGTCTTTGACCTTTTCAAGTGTAGATGGAGTGGGCCTAATGATCTTAAAGCCACTGCAAAAGTTCCTTCTCTTTCAACCAAGAGAGGTAGAACCATGGGGAGGTGCATAAGGGTTGCGACTTCATGGACTATTGTTTAAAATGTCCACATATTTCTTATTTCTACGACATATTTCCATTTCCATGGGGTACCAACACAAAATATTACTAAAACCAACACATTCTGCTCAATAGTGCAGTAGCCATATTGAGTACACAAGATGATAGTATGGCATCACTTGATAACAATATTGTAGATACGTGGTGCAGCAATATTATTTTTTTCAATAAAATAGAGTAGTGATACTATTGCCTATCCAATGGTATGATTACCACTTTGAACAACTGAAATTTTTATCTGGGATATGAAAACAATCCAGACTTGTAGCATAATGTAATATGTCCAAAATCCAAGGCTTTAGAACAAATATTTTTCAAAATGGCAAACAGCAATGATAGAAGTTAGGAACAAAAAAGAGAGGAATAAGATTAAAAACCTAGAATCACTCTAGGAGCCTCACTCCTAGATATATCACACAACCAGTACTTACAGCAATAATACAAGAGGTATAAGTTATTAATTAGTTTTCCCCAGGAGCAGCCAACTCTACTAGAATGGCCAAGCCACATTACAATATTTTTAACACCTGAAAACATTGAAAATAAAAAGGAAACAAAAAAGCTTCCAACTACGTGGCCTGTCCCACCACACACATGGACCTAGTGTACAAAGACAACAATAATCCTAACACTAAAATAAAAGAAAAATAAAGGGTAGAGGGGATCTGCCATCTGGGGTTGATCTATGGCCGGCATCATTCAAAACATTTAAGGAGTTATTAGGGTCATCATTGCAATTTTAACTCAAATCAGGAAGAGGTTCAGGTGGAATATCTTGGTGCTTAAGTACTTTGGCATGCTTAGCATGTCTGAGTATATTAGCCAGTTTGCAGTCAGCAGATATTAATCATGAAATAACCCCATCATTAAAAGATTCTATTCATACCAAGCCCAGCACAGAAGAAAGTGCTGAATTTGTGACTTAGATAAAGAATTCTAATCCTTGTTCCAAATTTTACAATAAACACAGGCAAGGAAGTTTCTAAAATCTAATCACTCACAAAAATCTAATTGAGGAGACTGACCCCTTTACTAATAAGGAAAACAGCATACTTGTGTATAATAAAAACATGCTTTATGCCTTCTCCTTTTGGTTTATTTTTCCTTTTTCTAGTGGGTGGAGGGGATCCATACCATTAACTCCTCCTGCTCCTCCTTCAGTCTAATCTTCTCATCCATCGCTTTCCGCTGCAAAAATGGAACATGGTCAACAAAAAGCCTCAGGATGATACAAGTATAACAAATAAAAAAACTTAGCGGTAGCAAACGGAATACAGAAACTCATTTTTTGTATGAAAATAAATGAATAATTGAAAGACAGAATAAGGTGAAGGAAATATTCAAATATTTCATGTAATATATAATGCATAGTAATTTTTCTGTTTGTTGTCAACTGGAATAGGGTTATCTGGGATTATCAGATTGTAATTTGAATATTTTCAAGTTGTTCCTCTGTGAAGGATCCTCGTTTCCATCAAGTTTTATTCTGCCTTTAATGAATTATATTTTAGTCTTTCAAAAAAATATATATAATGGATGGAAGTTGACCCAAAACTCCAAATGATGCTTGACCACTTTAGAACAATTAGGAAGGAAGAAAGAAAGGAATGATATAATTAAATTTTGTGTTTGTTTGTAAAATGTAACAATATGGTAGCTAATTCTGATGACACATTGTCCAAAAATTTTTCCCAACTCCACAGAAAGACAAGTACAGAAACAATAACTGATACCTAGCTCCTCTAGACTGGGTTATGGCAGTCAACACCTATTATTGTAAGCTAGGTTCAACAAATTAACTGCAACCATTAGATCACAAAGAACAAACTAAAACAGTTCCTCTATGATAACTTCAATACCCCCATGATTCAAATGTGATTTCATTATGTCATTCAAAAAAACAATTGTGATTTAATTATGCAAATTAAGCAGCAAGTTTTCAAAGAAGAATATAGAGTTGCTGATTCTTCTGGGGAAGGGAAGAGGAATAAGGCCGCATTTGGCAATAAAATTAAAGGTCCTTTTCTCCTTTTACATATTAGGGGAGACTGGATCCCCTTGCCTCAGCCCTCTAGAGGCTTGGAAAAATTCTGATTACACTCCATTAATTAACAGTGAGAAGGAGGATGAAGAAATACACCCATATGCTGATTTTATTGTTTTGTTGGTGGGTGATTTCTTATCACCTTCTTTGTATTTACAAAAGAAATAATTAGAACTTCGTTGATGATAACAGAAAAACACAAAGAACCGTATTGGAATCAGCTAGCTTAAAAACAGGCTTACATTAGTCCTAAGTTGGGAAAAGAAAAAATGCAACTATTTCTTATCACCTTATTTATATCTCTTGTACCTTCCTTGAATAAATTTTATTTTTATTTATTTACAAAAGAAATAATGAGAACTTTATTGATGATAACAGAAAAACACAAAGAACCAATATTGGAATCAGCTAGCTTAAAACAGGCTTACATTAGTCCTAAATTGGAAAAAGTAAAAATGCAACTATTTCTTATCACCTTTTTTGTATCTCTTCTACCTTCCTTGAATAAATTTTATTTTATTTATTTACAAAAAAAATAATGAGAATTTTATTGATGATAACAGAAAATCACAAAGAACCATATTGGAATATCAGCTAGCTTAAAACAGGCTTACATTAATCCTAATTCCTAAATTGAAAAAAGAAAAAAAAAATGCAACTAAGGAGTCTTATAAATGTCTGCTCCCCATGTCTCCTCTGTTATGTGAAATTCATTATTAGTAAGTAAAATTATCAAAATTCAATGCCTAGGCAGCGTCCAGGCAACTACGCAACAAGGAGCACCTCAATCACACAGGTTCACCTTGAACAATGAAATGGTAATACCCAAGTGTATTCATTACAGAGTGTACACTGCAGTACATATCAGGCTCAGCACTCTAGTTTAGAAAATAATCAAGTATAAATGGAAGATTAGAAGACCCAAATTCCCATTGTAAAACTAGCTCGGACCTCTTACCTTTTCTGGATCTTGTAGATCTTTAAAAGCTCTGTTCAATATGACAAATGCTTGTTGGGCTTGTGGATGAGAACATTTGTCTGGGTGCACCATAAGAGACAGCTTCCAATACCTATGTAGTTCACAACATACCAAAAAACCATTTATATAAAGGAAAAGCCCAAATAACAGCCATACAGATAAACTACCATATCCAGTTCCTTGATTAACAAGAGAATAAAATTCTAGCTAGAGAAACCACTAGGTTAATTAATTGCAAAATTACTACTTTCAATTTTTATGTGAAATAATTACGGTTTAGCAGCTCTCACCAGCCTCACCAATCAAAAGATTCAAAACCATGTAAGCTGCAGACAACATAAACCATGGAACCTCTCCTTAAGCTGTGAGTGTGACCTGAAGCTGTGATCATGAGTGGTGAAGATTCTGCCACATCTTGTGTTTCCTCAATACAGAATGGAATGAATGGGGGTATGGATTTATCTTTCCCTATGGCTGTCGTACCCCAAGATGGCTTAAATTATTTAGAATGGTCGAGAGGGATCAGGTTATACATTACTGCAAGAGGAAAGATAGGATATATAAATGGGAGAATTAAAGAACTTAATTCTGGGAGTGCGGGGTATGACAGATGGAACCAGGAAAACAGTATGTTTATGTCCTAGCTTTTAATGTCTATGCAACCTCAGGTGAGAAGGAACTTTATGTAAGCTGAAACGGCTTATGAGATTTGGGAACAGGCAAAATCAACCTATTCTGAACTGCATCACTATGCAAAAATGTATCAATTACAGGCAAAATCATCCACTTGTAAACAGGGGGAGAGGAATCTTTTTGTGTACTATTCAGACTTGACCTCCATGGTTCCGTCTGGAAGGAGTTAGATCACTATCAAAGTGTGGACTGGAAGTGTGATGAAGATGCAAAAGCATACAAGAAACTTGTTTCCCAACAACGAGTATTTTCTTTTCTCAATAGCTTGAACCCTGTGTATGAGTCCATCAAAGTCCAGATCCTAGGCAGCAAGGATCTTCCATCTGTCCAAGAGGTTTATGCTTTAGTAAAGTCAGAGGAAAGTAGAACAAATTTGATGAATAGTTCTGGAGGGGATGCAGTTGTGTTGGCAATGAAAGGGAATGTTGCTACAGGTGGGGGAAATCTCCTTAAGAAGGGGAACTTTCAGGGTGGACGACAAAGACAAACTATGGTGCACCCATTGCCAGAAACCCTAACACACCTGTGATACAAGCTCGGAACTTCATGGGAAGACAAAATGGGCTCAAGAATTGAGTAAGAAGGTTTAGATCTGAGTAAAAAGTCAAGACAGCAAGGTCCAAGAAAGCTCACTATAGCAAACATGGCTACTCACGAGAATCAGCCCCCTACTACTACTGTGACTCAAACACATTCCTCTGGTTCTGACCCAAGGGAGGATATTATTAATTCCTTCCGTGACCACTTAGAACTCTATGGTAGGGCAATTCGTCAGATGGATGTTTATCCTCCCTCAACTTCATTTGCGTCTATATCAGGTAATTTTGCTACAATTTTCCATGTATTGTCTCATTCCCCTGACTCTCCTTGGATAATTGATTCTAGAGCATCAAAACATATGATTGGTAAGTCCACTTATTTTCAGACCCATCACCTCCTCTCTAGAAGAGACAAGGTGAGACAGCTGATGGTTCATACTCTACTATAGCTGGTCAAGGAACCATTTCTCTTCCCTTTGGCCTCACTCTGTCTAATGTTTTACATGTTCCCAAATTCCCTATTAATTTGTTCTCTGTTAGTAGTATCACTAATTCTTTAAAATGCACAGTGATGTTTTCCCTTCTTATTGTGTGATCTAGAATTTGGCCTCGGGGAAGACGATTGGTAGAGGACGTATGGTGGATGGGCTCTACATGTTGGAGAATAAGGTTGGTCTTACAGTCACAGAGTCTAAGAGTCAGTTTAGTAAAAGTCGGGCCTATTTATGGCACAATCGTCTTGGTCATTTATCTTTTGAGTCCTTAAAAATGGTGCTTCCAAAGTTGTTTTAGTGTCAGTGTCAAAATTTACATGTCAAACTTGTCAATTGATTAAGCATTGTAGAACTCATTTTAATTTAAAGAATAATAAATCTGAATTTCCTTTCCATATTATTCATTCTGATGTTTGGGGCCCTGTTACTTTACCATCTGAGAGTGGCTACAGGTATTTTATTACCTTTATTGATTACTCCAGATACACATGGGTGTATCCCATGCAAACTAGGGATGAAGTACCAAAAATTATCCAAGATTTCCACCAAATAATCTTCATCCAACTTCAAACTGAAATCCAATTTTTTCAATCTGATAATGCCAAAGAATATTTTCATAATGATCTCATAGAGTTCTTAACTTCACGTGGATCACTTCACCATAGCTTATGTGCCCGAACACCACAACAAAATGGTGTAAAGTGGTTAACTAGGAACATGAAATTTGAGGTAAAATGGGTAAGTAGGTCAGCTAATACTATGGCTGATTCTCTGGCTAAACAGGGGGTATCCAGAGAGGTCTTTTCTTGTGCTACTTTGTAAGTTGTTATAATATAGTGGAAGTTGTACTTAACTAACCAGGAGAGGTTGCATCTCGTGCCTCTCATTGGGACATTGTACTATTCTCCTCTGCTGATTAATAAATCTCATTCATTTATCACAAAAAAAAAGAACCAACACCTTGAAGTGGCTTGGGGATTACTAATTCATATGAATGTCCTGAAATGTTTTTGGCTTGAGGTTGTCCTTTGTGCTACTTGTCTCATTAATCGTATGCCCTCTTGTTAGTGCAAAACCCCACATTAGCTTCTTTTTCCTAAGGCTCTTCTTCTTTCTATTCCTCCTCGTGTGTTTGGTTGTCGTTGTTTTTTTCAAAACCTGTCACCCAACAGCGAAAAATTGGATCCTCGTACTACTCCTTGCATCTTCTTGGGGTACTCCACCACTCAGAAGGGATACCAATGCTTTAATCCCGTCTCTTGGAGGTATTATGTTTCTATGGATATCTCTTTCTTTGAGAGTGAGCCTTTCTTCCCTGTTTCTCCTCAAGGGGAGTGTAGGAATGAGGAAAAACAGGTTCAGCTCCCTCCTCTTCCTGATCCTCCTCCCTTTCGTGTTTTCTTTCGTCGTCACAAAGGCCAGCCATGTTCAAAAGCTATAGAGCACCTAGAAGTTGTACCACCAATGCCATCAAACTCTCCAAGGGTGAATCCTACCCAACCAGGTACCTTGATCCCCATTGATGTTCCTAGCCCTATTGCTATTGATACCTCTATTGCTAATGACCTTAACCTTCCTATTGCTCACCGAAAGGGTGTTAAGTCTTGCACCATTAAACATCCCATTTCCCATTTTCTTTCCTATGAGAACATTTCACCTTCCTATGGAGCCTTCCTTTCTTCCATTGACAGTGTTCCTATTCCTCAGAATGTGGTAGAAGCTCTGTTGGTTCCTGAATGGGCAAATGCTATGAAGGAAGAGATTAATGCTTTGCATAAAAATGGCACATGGGAATTGGTAAATCTTCCTGAGGGGAAGGAACCAGTTGGATGTAAACGGGTTTTCATAGTAAAACATAGGGCTGATGGCACAATGGAGCGGTATATAGCTTGTTTAGTCGCAAAAGGGTTTACACAAGTGTATGGAGTGGATTATGCAGAAACTTTTGCACCGGTTGCTAAGATGAACTCCATTAGAGTCCTTTTCTCTTTAGCTACTAATCTTGATTGGGACCTTCATCAACTAGATATCAAGAATGCCTTTCTAAATGGTGACCTTGAAGAGGAAGTGTACATGGTACAACCCCCTGGTTTCCGAGCTCAAAGTAGTGACAGAAAGTGTGCAGGTTAAAAAAATTATTATATGGGCTGAAACAATCACCAAGAGAGCCTGGTTCAGTAGATTTCATGTAGTTGTTCAGCAAAGAGGATACAAGTAGTGTCAATCTAATCACACATTATTTGTGAAAAGAGGGGAAGGGAAAATTGCAGCCCTGATAGTATATGTTGATGATATAGTTATCATTGATGATTGGGAAGATGAAATTTAAAAGTTGAAAAGATTTCTTGCTACCCAGTTTGAAGTGAAAGATCTTGGTCCTTTACTTCCTTGGGATTGAAGTTGCTTGCTCACAAAAGGGTATCTTCATTTCCCAGAGAAAGTATGTCCTAGATCTGCTCCAGGATACAAGAAAATTGGGAGTGAAGCATGTTGATTCTCCTATTGATCCTAATCACAAATTAGGTGACTGTCAAGGTGAATTCATCAAGGATGTGAAACAATTTTAGAGACTTTTAGGAAGATTGTTATATCTTTCTATGACCCGACCAAACATTGCTTATGTAGTGGGTGTTCTTAGCCAATTCATGCGTGCCCCTAAGACCACCCACCTTAAAACAGCTAAGAGTTCTTAGATATCTTAAGAAGTTTCTAGGTGCAGGTTTATTGTTTCAAAAGCACGAGCATTTGAAAGTTGAAGTGTATACCGATGCAGATTGGGCAGGATCCCTGAATGATAGGAAGTCGACCAGTGGCTATTGTACCTTTGTGGGAGGAAACCTAGTTACCTAGTGAAGCAAAAAGCAAAATGTGGTGGCTAGATCTAGTGCTGAAGCTAAATATAGGGCAATGTCTCATGGAGTGGCTGAAATTATGTGGCTAAAAAATTTGTTGAGTTAGTTGGGATTTACAATTTGATGGACCTATGACCCTATACTGTGATAACAAAGCAACCATAAACATTGTTGCTAATCCAGTGCTGCACGATAGAACTAAACACAACGAAGTTGACAAACATTTTATCAAAGAAAAGGTTGTCACAAGGGAAGTAAGTATCCCCTATGTCAGTTCTAAAGACCAACTTGCAGATGTCTTCACAAAAGGGTTACATCACTTGCGACATCATGATTTATGTGACAAGTTGGGCATGATTGACATCTACGTCCCAACTACAGGGGTACTATTATACTTTCCACTTTTATTTTGTTTTATGTCGCCCTAGTATAAATAAAAAAAGCTAGCGCCGCCAGCATCATCTTTTGACTCTCAATCTCTCCTCTCTCCTCTCTCTTCCCTCTTCCTTTCTT